CTTTCCGCGACCAAAGAATGTTGTCGCAAATGATGATTTTCCGCGACCAACTTCACTTTTGGTCTCCAAAAACCTTCTGTGACGGACTTTTGGCAACCAAATTGCGACCAACTTTTTTTGGTCGCTAAAAACTATTAGCAACCAGATTTGACCTTTTTGCGACCAGAAATGTTGGTCACGAAAAGTGTTTTTTCCTGTAGTGAATCATGAAAGGGGATCTAGGGTTTGATACTTGGGGGTTGTAATTGTAACCATCTGAAAATTTTCTTCTTCATTGCTCAAGCGACAAGTTGTTCACTCGAGCGGTATTGTGGGTCATCCAGTACTTTTATAAGTTTGAGATTCTAAGATATGCCAATGAGCACTCGAGCTCAGGGTTGGTTGCTCGAGCAATGTGGTGTCTTTGATGCTTGAACACAGGAGTAGTCACTTGAGCGGCCTGTTCGGGATCAAATCTTTACAAGTCACTTTTTGGGTCAAATCATTTCACTTTTCACTCTCTCTTCTCTCTCTTTTTGTCATTTTTGGCCTTTTTAAGTTTTCAAGCTTGGTTTTCATCTATTTTTATCCATTTTCTATCCCTAGTTCGATAGACCAAAACATAGAGCTCTGCAAGGGCTTTCATTTAATCTGAGCGGATCGTGTTTTCGTTGCCATAGGTTTTTTGATATTCTCCTCTTCGCTTCGAGAGGTAGGGATTTTTTTGCTCATTTTCAATACCTCGTAATAGTTATACATGTGGTGGTTTTTATAGCATTTTACAAAAGCATGATAGGGGTTTGGGGTTTGGATTTTGGGAGTTGGAATTGGATGAGTTGTAGGTGTTTCGGTTAATTGAGAGGTAGCTGGGCATGTTCGTGTTGAGAATGTGGAAAAATCCTAATTTATCATTATGGGTTTAATTAATCCTAAAGGGGTGAAGATGTGTAATAATCGAGTTATGTGCTAAAGAATTAGAATAGTGGTTTAGATATTAAAATGAAATTTAATTGAGTTTAGTTGTGGTTTTCGATTAATTTTGTTTTATAGTTCCGTTTTATGAATTGGATTGGGTGAAGGAAAAAGATGAAGTTTTGGCCAAGGGTGGACGTAGTTGATGGTTTTGAAGCAACGGATTTGGTTTCGGAAATAAAATGGCATGTGTAACTCTTTTATGAAATGAAATGAGAAATGGTTGATTTGAAAAGGTAGAATTAATTATGCATTTGTATTGTGTGAATCGTGTATATATTTATCTGTTTAGAGGTTTTGTTCTTGGTCATCGGCGGAGGATGGCATTGTTGTTGTTGAAGATGATGTGTATATATTACACTTGTCACGCCCCACACTCGTCCCTAAAAGTTTGGGCATGACCTATTCAGAAACGGACATTTAACCTGACATACATAACATACGGGGCCTAAACGGAAGCATTAAATATTATAAAATAACAGAAAACAATCTCCATTGAGTAATCACTACTATGCCAGGATCACAAACAACTTAATAGGAAATTAATATACAGAAACATGCATCTGAGCATCTGTTATATACATACACATATACAGACCCAGCCCTATGCTTGGGCGTATAACCAAAACATCGCAGGTTGAGGAAGTTATATACATTCATCCTTAAGTAGGAAATTAAAGTACGAGCCAACATCATAGAAAAACTTCACAAAACATAAGTAGCTTCGTCTAGTGCTTAGACACTCAGAGGTTGACAAAAGAGAACAAACGTCATGGGTTAGGACTGACCTCCCGGTCAGTTACCTACATAAATAGACATAACACAGAGTGAGCCAGGCTCAGTGAATAATAGTACTTAAACAAATTGATGCTCAACTTAAATATAATACATATCAATGCATGTATAAATGCAGAGGTCATCTGGTTAATATGATTCTGTACTAATTTTTAGAACAGCCTTAGGCTCAGCTTTTAAACATAATGGCTTGAAGCCCTTGAACGGAGTGGCATTAAGCCCTTAAGTAGATTGGCACTTAGCTCTTAAACAGAATGGCATTATGCCCTTAAACAGAATGGCATTAAGCCCTTAAACAGAATGGCATTAAGCCCTTTTCATGCATGTATGAACCCAAGAGCTGTCTCGCACGGATTCTAGAGGTGACTCACATTGTAGCACTTAGTTCCGTACAACACCTTGATTCATATCAGAAAGTACAGATTGGCCATAGGCCCAGATGTCAGAGTCTTACAGAATTCCGGAGTCATATGAAAACATTTCCATTCTTTTACATTAATGATTTACATCCTTTCAAACATTCATATAAGTTACATAATTGACATGCGTTAACAGAATGCTAATAGTAATCATTAGCTGTAGGAAAGCGTACTATAACAGTACTACTACTCACAGTGCAGTAGCGGCGCGCTTGTCTCTCCCGGATTATGACCTACACACATGAACAACTTGCAAGTTAATTCTTTTCCTTTGTTAAATCATTTTCGAATTTGTTTCGCTTCGATCAAATTTAGAGATATTATAAAGGTCTTAAATACATATTTCAACAATATTAGAGGGTCCAACACGTAAAACAGAGCAACCCGTTATTTTCAGCATGGGCCGAACGTGCGGCTGTGAGCCCCGCATATGCGGTAAAGACTCCCGCACGTGCGGCAGTGGTGCCCCGCACGTGCTTTTTAGACAGTAGCCAAAATGACAAAATTCCTCATTCTCCGCACGTGCGGCCATGACTTCACACATGCGGCTGGGGTTCCCGCACGTGCGGCCATGACCCCCGCACGTGCGGCGATTCTGCTCAAAACAGTCTGAAAATTCATACAAAATCCCACCTTTTGGTGAATATTTACAAGGCTCAACATAGCTTCCTTAATTGCTAAAACATGGTCTAGAAACATGTTAATGGGATCCTCTAACACACATACACCATAACTAGGATTTAGATTTTTAATTCTTAAAGTTTGCTACATAACATAATCCCTTCATGGTTTCAATTATGTTTGGTCCAACTAGATATAAACAACCATATTTGATAATCAATTAGGTATGTAAATAAACACCATACAATAAGTAAAATCAAGAGAGGAAAGGTGAGATTACCATCTCATTTACCAATACAACTAAACAAGATCACACACACCCTTGATTCTTTAATTGTAACTTCCACTTAAGAATTGGACAGAATTTCTTACTCACTTATCATGAGAGCTTAACAAAAGCAAGAATCACATACCTTGAGCTCAAATTCTACAATCCTCACTAACTTCCCAATCTTTTTCTTGAACCTCCTCTCAACCCTCTCTAACCTTCTCCCCCCAATTTGCACTTAGGAGATATTTTGATTATGGGCCCTAAGCCAATATTTCAAAGAACATAGATATATATATATATATATATATAAGGTGAATAGGACAAAAACTAATTAATTTAATCATTCCAAATCAAATTTTTATAACAATGCTTAATATTACCTAAAAATTATGCTAATTTCAAATGTAAGATCAATTCCGGATTATCAAGCCTCTAGGACCCTCAATTCTTGATTCAAACATTCTAATTGTGACAGATACTTTTCTTATGGAACAGATATGTATCCATAATCTTAGGATTCACTTAATTAACCTTAATTCCCTATAAAATTCCACAATGAGCATTTAAAAGTACAGACTAAGGGACTCAAAATATACCAGAATCATGTACGAGGGTCGGGTTGTTACACTCTCCCCCCCTTAATAAGTTTGGTCCCTTAAACTTGTTTTACCTTATAACAGAAACAGATGTGGATATTGGTGTTGCATATTCTCTTCTTTTTCCCAAGTTGCTTCGGTTCCGTAATGTTCTTGCCATTCAACTTTTACCATTGGGATTTCTCGATTACGTAACTGCTTCACTTGTTGGTCTAGAATTCGAATTGGCTTTTCTTCATATGCTAACTTGTCATCTAGGACGATCTGGTGATAATCAATGATATGAGACAGATCTGAAAGGTATCCCTGAAGCATAGAGACATGAAACACATTATGCACTTGGCTCACACTTGGCGGAAGAGCAACTCGATAAGCTACCGGACCTGCTCTTTCCAAAATTTGAAAGGGACCAACATATCGGGGTGTTAACTTACCCCTTTTTCCGAATCTCGGATGTCCTTTTATTAGACACCCCATTTTGGACCGACTTGGACTCAGACTCACCAGTTGACACTTGGGATATTGCATAATGTGCTGTTCAGAAGTTTCAGAGTCTTGGCCTCAGCCCTGCCCCTCTTTTGTGCTTTGCCTCGGTTTGCGAACCAGGCTCAGTTTTCTCTGTTTCTTTTCCTGAGGGGAGGGAGAGGTCCCGTAGACCATCTCTCAGTGGCCGTAGGCTACGTTTTGTGGTCGTAATCCATTTTGCCCATTTCGGAGCCTGGTTCTCGATTTTCGGAGCCATCAGGCCGTGTGCCTCGGTTCGGGACCGCTTAACCATCTCCAGTTGCTCTGATTTTTGGCATGCATCTTATTTTCTCCCTTTTGAGGGACACTGGGGTCTGAGAAACCCACTTCGCGGCCGAACGCCACTTTCGGTGCTTAACAGCCCATTTTCGGGACACCGAACTGCGTGTTTTGGCCCCCGAGCATTCGTTTTGCATCGATTTTCGTTCATTTTTGGCAGGTACCTCTGTTTTATCACCAGGAAGGTCACTGGAGGGTGGGAGGCCAGCAATTATCTTAGCAACCAGTTATATTCCAGTTTCTCCCTCCGGCACCCGTTTTTCTCACTTCCGAGCCAATGTTGAACACCTTGGAGCCACTTTCTTCAACCCCAAACCACATATTTGTGTTGTACACACATGGGAGGATCCTAATATCATATGGCCGGCTAGAAATTCTATTTGACCCTTTTGAACCCCTCTTAAAAATGGCTTGTTCTCTCTCCTGTTTCAGAGTTGCTAATTTCGAACCACATGGTTGTGGTGAGGAGACATGGGAGGACATCTTTATGTGGTGGCCGGCCACTAACTCAACTTGACCTTTTTGACCCCTAGCCAGCCGGCTATGGGAGGTGGCCGGCCGGCCACCTGCAAGTCCAAAAATCAGTCGGCCTTGATCCATGTAATAGGCACTTTACAGCTGTATAGCTGTATTCCCCAGAAAATATCTCAATCCGGGGGATATTTTTTTGGGGGAAAACTTGCCTCCTTTTCCCCCACATTTACTCCTTTTTTTTTTGGTCCATATAACCAGCAGGCAGCATTGGTGAGAAGGGTTAGAAAAATTGGTCTTCAAGCCTTGATACACAAATCTCCCTCCATCTCTCTTATTTCCTTGAAAAACCTCCAAGTCCTACATCACCATTTCTTCTACACCACCAACCCCCACCCTTCCATCCTCCATTCCAGAAGTTTGAAGGTGTTCTCCAAGGCCTAAGAGAAACTCAGAAGGATCCGCCCAGGCTGGGCTCTCAAAATTAAAGAAGACGTCACCAAGAAAATTGACGTAGGGTTCCTGCTGGTATCTGAGTACCCAACTTGGTTGGCCAACATAGTTCTAGTGCCAAAGAAGGATGGTAGGATCCGTGTATGTTTGGATTTCAGGGATTTCATTAGAGCCAGTCCGAATGACGACTTTCCTTTGCCGTATATCAGCGGGGCATGTTTTGCTTTCGTTCATGAATGGATTCTCAGGCTACAATCAGATAGTGATGGCACCTGAAGACTGAGAGAAGACTGTTTTCACCACTCTGTGGGGGACTTATTGTTATAGAGTAATGCCATTTGGGTTGAAGAATGCTGGAGCTACATATCAACGGGCCGCGACCACAATATTGCATGACACGATCCATAAAAGGTCGAGGTGTACGTGGACGACATGATTGTCCAGTCCAAAGAAAGAAAGGGCCACTACACCACCTTGTAAAAGTTTTTTCAAAGGATCAGAGAATTTCGGTTGCGGCTGAATCCTCAGAAGTGTACGTTTGGTGTTACAGTAGGGAAAATGTTGGGGTTCTTGATTACACAGAGAGGTATCGAGGTCGACCCTTCCAAAATCAAGGCCATCTTAGAAATGCCACCACCAAGGACTGAAAATGAGGTGAGAGGCTTTCTGGGTAAAGTGCAATTCATAAGACGGTTTATCTCAAAATTAATCTTGACTTGTGAACCACTTTTTGGTCTCCTGAAGAAAGG